CGAGGGCTTGGGTTAAAAATCTTTATATAATTATTGATAATCTTAATAATTCGATAACTAGATTAATTGGCATGACCTCTGCTAAAGCTATAAAAATGAAACAAATTATTTCATCATCTTCTAAATTACGCAATGGATCTATAGGCTTTGATGAATCCAAGCTATTTTATAATACCCCTGTAAGATATTTACTTGAACCTGGTGAGCTAGAAGGTGGAAGTAAAAGATCAACTGATTGCAATTGGTCACCTCAAGTTTATCATATTTGTGAATCTTTGGTGCAAAAAAATCAGCCTATCTTATATTGGCTCGAAGATGATGAAGGCAATAGACCAAAGCGATCTTTTGTTAAAGAAGAGCTTTTAATTATAAAAGATGTGCAATTACCTCCTCAGTGGGTGCTTACGAGTTAAAAAATTTATAATATAAAAGATGCTTGTGGAATGCTTCAAGTTGGTATTCCTGGTCTTTTATAAATTAAGAAATGCTTTATATTTAATTTTCTGATAGAAATTTATTTATATGATCAATTTCATTATTATCAAAGAAGTTATCAATTTCACTTCTGATTTTAGTTAAATCTTTGAAATATGGTTTTGCTAATTTATAATATAAAAAATTAAGATCTCTAATAGCTTTTAATAGTTTGGGTTCGAATCTATACCATAGTTTATATTGCTCTTTCATCTCCATATATTTTTCTTTATTCAAAAATTTGTTTTTTGCATATTTCACTATATATTCATCTGGCTCTTCGGCATTAAATAAATTCCTATATTCCTTTTTATAACCTTGCATTAATTTTTCATCTCTAGATTTTCCATAATAATCTGCTATTATAACTATCTCTTTGATAGCTTTAGCAATATCTTGCCATTTAGGTATTGTTTGGTTTTCAGTTGAGGATTTGGCCTCATTGGATAACTGATCGATGCTTTTATTAGTAGATGACATTTGAATATATAATATATTTTGATTAACTAAAGTTTTGTATATAATACTTTATAAAATCTTTTCTTTAAATAAATATTTCAATATATATAAAAATGATTGGTGAATATACTTGTCCTTTTTATCATAATTCTGGTGAAATTTGTGGAAGACCCTGTATGCGTCCTGAAGGATATAGTTATTATTGGAAAGCTAAAAGAAGAGTACCTTGTACTGATTGTGGAAAGCCAACTGGTTCTACTCCTGGCCATTGCCCTTTACATATTAGGGGTACTATGTGGTCCAGTACTATAATAGATTACGTGTTAAGGCTTTTAAAATAGATCTTAGATAAGTGAAAAAACTTGGCCCATATTTTGTTAACTTTTAATATATAATACAAAATTTTGTGACCCTTATTAAAATTTTGTTACCCTTTGGTATATATGGTTATATTTTTTGTTACCCTTTATTATATATGTATATATTTTTTGTTACCCTTTTGGTATATATGGGTCACATTTTTTGTGTCAGAAAGTAGTGAAGAATCATCTTTAGAATTAATTCTACTATAACAAATAATATTTGTATCCTTTTTGATATGAATTTAGGTAAAAGAATATGTTCTAGATATACAACAATATTGGTATACTGATTGAGATTTTTGATGCCTAAATGATAGCAAACAAGATAGTATAAATAATTGGTATCTTTTTGATATAAATTTGAGCAGAAGATTGCATTCTAGTTATACAAAAAATAATATCACTGAGCTAGAATGACGACGCAAACACAAATTTATCGTCATTCGAGTGATGACACAAATGCAAATTTATACCCACTATATCAAAATAGTATCCTTTATGATATGAATTTGAGTAAATAAATGCGTTCTAGATAATTTTTATTGAATTGATGACACAAAAGTGAAATTATATGTAAGATTGATATCAGAAAATATGATATCCTTTTTGATATGAATTTGGGTAAATAAATGTGTCTAGATAGAAATCATTGATTTGACGACGCAAAAGCGAATTTATATGCAAAATTGATGCCACTGTGCCAGAACTCCCAATTTAGCCCTACTGTTGACTCTCATATCGGGACAATAATTGTAGTTTTTGTTCTGCATTCGAGAACATGTTTGAAAACTCTCTCTAGTTGATTTAGTAGTGCACATACAAAATTTGTCTCCCCTGCCCAGTCTGCTGTAAAACAATCGACTGTTTCCGTATTTGGGCAGTACCAACGGAAGTTGAAGTGTCTTGTTTGAGTTGTTCGTTCGCTGGCCATCCTGTCTATAGTATGTGGACTCCAAATTTTGTCCAAGTGAGCAAAGATTTCTTTTCGTAGCCCCCAATCTGTGTTGTCGAAAAATCTTGTCATTTCATCCGCTGGATTTAAAGCGCTTGAAACCCAGCGAAATTCATATACTCAGATATCGTTCTCGTCGTACAGGTCCTATAGATCTCTCATATATTCTTTTTGCCATAGGTTTTTCCCTTCCCTTTCCATCGTCTTCAATGCTGTTTTGTTGTCTATAAAAATTGTCGTCCAATGATGTTTTAAAACGTCTTTGAAGGATTTTAACCCTAAAAGGGTTGATTCTGACTTTAATTTTGCAATTTCTGTGTATTTGTATTTTTTGTCCCAATTTCTAAAAGCTTTCTTTCCCAGAAGTGTGGCAGACCAGCCCGTTGTTGAGGCATCTACAAATAGTGGAAAAATTCTTGATGGTTTCCAGGCTGGTCTTTTGTTCCTTTTCTCTAGGTTTTCTAATACCCATTTTACATCCTGTTTTGCCTGTAATGATAGTTCTACTTCCTGATTCCACTCCCAACTTGCCCGATTGTTTGCATCTAAAATTGAGTAAAACTCTAAACATCACACCTTTGCTGGTGCAAACGCACGGCTTAAGCTCATCAGGCAGCCCATTACTGATGCCATTGTTTATGCTGTTAACTTTTGTGCATAGGTAAGGCTTCTTAATGCCTTTTTTATTTTTTGTAACTTCTCCTTTGGTATAATGACTTCTCCTTTTTTTGTATCTAGAATTAACCCATAAAATTTTGAGTATTGTGTTTGTTCTAGGTAGCCTTTTGCTTCGTGTCATACTAAACCTCCTTTCTCCATATCTTTTAGAATAATCTCGTTGCGCTGGTAAAGTAATACTTCGCAAGAAGGGTGTGCAACCCATATGTTGTCCACATGATTGCCGCAGTAGATTCCAATAGATCGCCAGTATCCAATAAGTGCCCTCATTACCTTTGAAAACCCCCATACAGCTTGAGATCAAGACTCGGTAATAGTACTAATTCCCTTTGAACTGAAACCCTAACAGTTTCTGGCTTGGTTCTCCATTAATAGATGGTGATACTCATCCTTTAAATCTATTATTATTATCCACCATTCCTGGCCCACCATTCTTAAAAAGGTTCTCAATCCTTTGAATTTGAAAGGTCGATCTGGCAATGTTCGATTTAGCCTCCGAAGATCTATTATTAGTCGCCACTTTTTTGGCTCAGCTTTTGGCCAAAGAAATATCGGGCTTACTTCCATCAAACATGAAGGTTTCTTCTGCCCTGATCCTACATGCCTTATTGCTCTTACTTTTAATAATCACTCTAACTCGTTTACTATCCATTCTGTTTGTTCGTGATTCATCGTGTATTGTCTTTGTTCTGGAAGAGCTGCCAGAGGAAGAAGTCCTTGAGGAAACAAGGGAAAACCATTTTTCAACCATCCAATAATTAGAGGAGATGCCTTTATCTTGTTTTTCCAATAAGCGACTGATGAGGGGTGGTTTAACTGACCAATTACATTTATTTCTATGGCCCGAGTGTAGTCAACTGTTGTTTCTTGAATTATCTGATTCTGCTTGTTAGTTAAATGGCCTTCGGTTTTTTGCTGAAGGGCAGTTGAATGCCAAGTGTCCGAAACTGCCGCAGTTATAGCAGTTAAAGTCCTTCCTGTTATTCCTTGAGTTCTGTTCATTGCTGAATGTTCTTTTATTATAGATTGGTCTTGTGGGCTCTTTATATCTCGACTCATAATACGGCCTCTGTACATTGTATCTGTTCGGTTCTGTATATGCTGGGCTGTAGTTATATCCTGTGTGGTAGTATTGTTCTTTCGCAGCATGCAATGAATTTTTGGTATATCTTGATCCCCGATAAAAGGGTCTTCCTTTAGGTAAATTACCCATTTTCTCTTTCCTTTTTGTTGCTGCAATTTGCTGTGCTTTCTCTATTGCTTCTCTATATTCTACAAAATCATCATCTTTTGATAGAGGTAACTCTACCACTACATCCCATCCATATTTTTTAACTACTCTCAATGTAGTCAATCTGTCTTTCGCTCTTTTCTTAGCCGATTCTATATATTCTAATGCTTCATCTACTGAAAGAACGTTCAACGCCAAATCCAATTCTTTACCTATGGCCCTTATTGTGTCATATTCATGCTAGTCTCTTTGTTTTTCAAAATTTTGTTCTGGCCACTCGTCATCTATTTTGGATTTTGTACGTGTTTCTTCTACCCTCATGTTCATATTATTCATATCTTTCCTTAACTCCTTTAATTCAGTTAAAAGAGCCACCATTTCTGATGATTTAGTTTTTTGTTTCTTACAGGTGATTGTCTCTACATCACTCTGGTCAGATGAAGATTCAGTAAATGAATTTCCTCCTTTTCTTTTAATACCAGTTTGATTCCTCAACCCTGACTGCTCCAGTGTAGTATCCGTTCTGTCTGGACTTTGTTGTTGATTATCCAAATGAAAATATTCTGTTGCCAAAGTATCATTGTCCACGTCTTCCTGATATACATTAACTGTACTGGATGATGGTACTGATTGTTGTGGCATATTCCTTGTGCAATTTAAAGTAATTCTTTCTACAAGGTCCATCTTATTCCCAGAGGTCTCCAAATTTAGTTGCTCTGCTATTGTTCTTAGGGTGTCTAGTGACATTTGAGAACGTCTT